TTAAAGATACAATTAAATATTTTAGCTTATATATGCGTTTGAAAAGAAAAGAAAAAAAAAACGACTGATTTTGGAACGTCAAGTATTTTTTGTTAGATTTTCTGTAGAAAAAAAAGCTGATTACTATTATACGCAGTTTTCTTCTTTTGCCAAAGAACTAGTACATTTTTCTAATTATTCAAAAGTATGTCGTCACACTGGTAATTATTTATTATATTTCGATAGGAAGAGTGATTAGTGTAAGCGTGACTAACAAATAGAACGAGAAACCAATTGACATAAAGACTTTGGTTAATCTAAATGACAATTTTATTGAATCCAAGATTATGTAAAATCTGGACCCAATACCCTCCTTTCTCTGAATCATAAAAAAATTCCATATGGCAAAGCTTTTGTCCACACTAGGTGAAAATGATAGGCAATTACCTAAGCTTGCCTGGACCTAAAGACCCAGGTGGATAAAGTTACGGAACGTTTTTAATTGAGGTCCAAAGTTGGGGTATAGTGACCAAACCCCCTCCCTTCTTTCATTCGTAAAAAAGTCCCTACGGCAAAGCTTTTGTCCACACTCAGTTGGTGTTTTTTTCTTTTCTTTTCAAACGCATATATGAACTAAAAGATATAATTGTATCTTTAAACTAGTTAGTGTGAACTTTTTTTTATTAATTTTGTCATTATTATAAAGACAACAATAAAATTGAGAATGGAAATGGGGAATGTGTCAAAGAGACAACAACCCGACTATAGAACAGACAACAGGAGAAGGTCACCAACAGGTCTTCAATGCATCGAGAAATTCCCGCACCCGGAGGCGTCCTTCAGCTGGCCCCTAAACAAATATATATACTAGTTCAGTGATAATGAACGCCATACTAAACTCCAAATTGTACACAAGAAACTAAAATTAAAAATAATACAAGACTGACAAAGGCTAGAGGCTCCTGACTTGGGACAGGCGCAAAAATGCGGCGGGGTTAAACATGTTTATGAGATCTCAACCCTCCCCCTATACCTCTAGCCAATGTAGAAAAGTAAACGCACAACAATACGCACATTAAAATTCAGTTCAAGAGAAGTCCCATCTGTAATCAGAGAACACTAAAATGAGAAAGGATTAGCTAAAAGGAATTTTAGATGCCCGGCTTAAAAAAAAAGTTGTATTAAATACACGAATAACTAATTAACTTTGTCTGTGTTAAAATGGAATTGCATTTCGTCTTCCTACTGGAAATGATTGTCATCAGATTTCAAAGGACGTTTCGTGTTATTGCAAGTCTTCAGTTTTTAGGCATGATCAGGTTGACGCGTTTTCTTATTGTTCGCTAGCTTGATGCATCTTATTGTTCGCTGGCTTATTGTTCGCTAGCTTGATTCTGGTTGATACATTCACAAATTATTCTGATATATAAACACATATATTAGACAGAAGAAGAAGCAATAATTTCTCGTTATTATGTCCTCAACTGATCTTGAGTTCAATATATTCAATATTGACAGTAATATTTCAATGAAGTCTGAATCATGTCCTACATCTGCTTCATCAATTGTTTTCACTTCATTAGAATTGTCCACAAATTCATTTGTTTTCTTTAAAGTAAAGTTTTCAAATAAGCTTCTGGTCTAATTTGATGATAACCATTCTTTTGGTGAAAACATTTTATATGGAGTTGTTTTTAGGGCTATCGCAAATGCCCTCACAACGAGGTCTTTTTCAAGTTGCTTTTCTCCTTGCTCAAAAAAGCATACAATATAAAAATTAAAAGATGTGGTATTATAATAACGTCTCTTACAATTTTAAACCTTTTCAAACCCAGCCTTTTTTTTTATCAAAATCTTCATGGTTTTCTTAGTTTATTTGGGAAATCTAACAAGCTGACGTTTACATGTATAATGTATGTCGAAACTTTCTGATCGAAACTTTCAAAATATATTTCTGTAAATTTAAAAATTATTGCAATATGAATAACACAACAGATTTTCAATGTTACCCGTCTACTACATTTTTGTACAAGGCTCATTTTCAAACTTGACCTGTTGTCTGTAGAAAGCTACTGCATACATTTTAGCCAAATTAGATAACGATTAATTATGCTAGAAAGTTTACAATCCGGACCGATGCTCGGACGGACAGACGAACGATTAGCATTCATATATTCCCGACCGCAATATGATGCTGAGGGGGACAACAAGAACAGATATGGGGTATATGTCAAGGAGACAATATTTCATCTCAAAAGTTAACTAACCAAAAATGTACACCCAGAAGTCGCCACACGATCTGCAACAAACAGGAAAACCCACAACACGTAGTTACCCCTATAAGGCCCAGACTGTGATATGACCTAAGTTACATTTCATTTTTTGTACAATATTCAATATAATTTAAATTTGCTTTAATTAATCTCAAGTTTTTGACAGTCACCATGAATATGCAATAATAATATTACACACATTACGTTCGGAATTCACAGTATTTCAAATTTTTTCTGCATAAAGTCAG